AAATTGGTAGCGTGGCACTCGACTTCTCTGTAAAGCACTCCCTGTGGTTTTCATGCTATTTCCAGTGTTACAATTCAATCAAACGCCATGGAGTTGGACCTTGACCCAGATTGGTGCAAACACGATCGTATTCTTGTTACGCCAAGGTGACATTACTCATTTTATGATGCCCTCAAGACGCGGATGACACAATTTGATCATCTGGTTCAGTAGTAGGTGACTGACAACCATGCAGGAGTGTGAAAAGTGACACACTTAACCCCCCACCTAATCTGGATCCAAGTCCATTGAGCAAACCCTTTTACCTGAACATTTACATGGATTTAAAATTCGCCCAGAGTCTTGGCGCTTAATGTGTGAGCTCAGGGAATCAAGTCCCAGACCTTATCAAGTGGCAGCAGGGCCACAGGCAGGAGAGCGAATTCACCCACATTTCTCCAAAACACAAAAGAATCAGATCAGACTATTTGCGTAGTAATGAATGTAACTGAATAGCTGTGGCTGCACTTCATAGTTCTGGACAAAAAACGACAACTCTGAACTCTTTCCAAAACCAACAAAGCGGATTTACAGTCGCCGTAGAGCATAAAAACAACTTTGGAATATGTACAGAAATCCCTCCAGGTGTTACAGAGCAAAGGGAAAATGCATAGGAATAATCCCCTCGGACATTAGAGCCACATTCCTTTCTTTATTACTCCCCCCAACCTCAGCTTAGCAGAATCCAGGTGGATAGCAATCACCGGTTTTGCTGTGTTTCGCCTGTGGTAGTTGCGCTTAACGTGCAAAGGTGAGTTTCAAGGCCAGGGAGGAGAAACGACGAGCGAAGCGATTGGTCGGTCCGAGCTAAGCTGCCCTGCCGTGTGCTGATAAGTGCATTATAAATCAGTATTTCATGGATATGGAGAGCGCTGGTAGAGATCATATTAGTGTGAGGGGGTGGGATCATCTGACCTTCCATAAGCCCTCCACTGTTCTTCGGTTGGGGTTGGTCAGGAGGAGGTAGTTTGGTTCTTAATCCTCGGCACTGACCTCAGCTGACCTCTCATTCTTAGACACTTACAATTACATCTTCCTTCTTTTCTTCCTACATTTCTGTTCATTGTCCTCACATCTCACCAATGGGTCCTTGGAGTTTGATGTTGAATGTCAGGGAGAGTGTGCAGATAAAGGTCACGTTACTGTTCTCTTATATATGAGCAAAGTGAGGGTCAGAGGTCAGACGTGCTGAGACACAACACTGGAAGCGTTGCCATGGCGCAACATTTGACAAAGATATTTCAGAGCCTCGGAGTCTCCAGCAGTGTTTGTCTTGTTTCGACTCCTCGTGATCTGGTGAGAGAACCTCCCGCTTGTCCAACAGGAGCCGTATAGTTGTAACCCTGCTCTGGTTACCATGTGTAAGTTGACAACAGCTGCAGCTGTGTCAACACCAACAGTCAACATGAGGGCTGCCAGCCTCACCTGTCCATAGCGAGCAGGAGGTGCGATTTCAGCTGCTCCTTTACACCTCAGCTGCTTCTGCACTCCCCGTTGAAAACAAACACGGCGTGCAACAGACGTGAAGTTGTCGCAGGAGCACGTACATATCCAGAAACATGCAGTTGTAAGTCATGAATGTACGTTATATAAATGCTGTTGACAACAGAATCCTGTTCCTGGGACTCTTGGGCCAGATAAAAGCTGACAGCGGAGAGAGTGAATCTCTTTAAGAGCTGGGAGGCATCGCGTTTATCAAGGGATGAGGAAACTGGGTATAAAACTGTTGCCTGTAGGAATTGAGCTTTGCTGTGAATGTTGCAATCTAATATACGTTAGCGCTACAGAGAGAGCAGTGCAGTTGGTAATGTGGACATGGTAGGATCAGACCTACCTTACAGCTCTCAGTGTTTAGCCCTTTGGACTTGAATATTAAACTCCTCCCTGATTTGCATTCGTGTGATGCGAGCTGCACAGGGGCAGCTCCCGCTCATCGCACAGCTCATGTTTTAATCAACATGGCTCCCTCAGTGCTATCTATACCACCATCCAGAGCCCCTATACACACTAAGTCAACATGATGATGGCGTGGTGATCACATCTCCTGTATTCACATCTCCTCTGATCCCTCCTTTGATGCAGCTCTCGGCCACTTTATCTCATTCTTCATCGTCCCGCCGTCTCTACGCAGGCTTTCGGCTGGAATGTGATGCAGTCCCGTGCTGTCGTACCTGTACGTCTGCACACATCTGCGCGCCAGATGTTCCACAAAGTTAACGCTTCACTTCAACCACTGATCCTCTCAGGAGTGTTGTGTCTTTGACTCGGTAGTGATTAAAGGGCGACCTGTTGCAACTGGTCCTCGTGTTTCCTCACAGCGCTTGTCAGAAACAAAAACTCATATCATTGGAGTTAATATGGGATCAAGCTTTTCTTCTTTTTCTTTTTATTTCCTTGTCTTTTCTTAGCTGGCATCTTTTCTGATGCAGTTTCGCCTTTTACAAGTTCTGCAAGCTTTGCAAATATAAAGGCTGGTTTCAGGTTTCACGAAAGAGCAACAAACGCTGGCTGCACTTTGGAGGCATTTTCTATACTTCAACTGATGCAAATTGCTCAAACTGCAGCCCTACATACAGAAGAAGCAATGAAATTATAGTAGTCATGATGTCTAATGTGATAAAACTGCTTCTTTAGGAGGTCATGTGCATCACCGCTCTGAAATATGACATTGTGTGTCGATGCTCGTGCTCACAGAGTCATTAAGCAACTTAGTTATGTCCATTACACATCAGTGTCTACTTTCTAAAATTAGCAAACATTAACCGACGCTAGATGCCGGTCATACCAGATCATGTGAGACTGCAGCTGCAAAACCACTGAGTGCATTGAAGTGAACATCTTGTTGCTAATGAGCTTTTCTTTGTAAGAGCTTTCTTCATATGTTAGGATATAAACACTATATAAGTTGTGTTATATCGTAAAGCATTGAGTTTGAAGAATTGGTGGTTTAATGTAGAGAAAAGAAGCCACATTCTGAAAAGGAAAGCACCAACTTTACAAGCAAACGTTTTGGTTGCTGGACCTCGTAAGAGGCACGACGGCCTTTTGGCTCCAGTGTTCAGCTGCCCAGCGACGGTCCAGATGAATACCAAATGTCTCTGTCTGTCTTCTGCTGACTGCTTCTCTCAGTGGGTTTAATGCTCCGCTGTCCAACCGAGACGAGACACGACTCTACCTCGTACGTCGTCGGGTGAAAATCCCTCTCAGTTTATTAGATCAACCTAAAATTCGATCACCATGGACTCCCTTTTTGCGTAACAGGATTCATGTGATGAGCTTTTGTCCGGGCGACGGTCGTAACTCCTGCCACTTGTTTGTGTGAAAGGCTCCTACTCGTCTGTCGATGGGAGGTCAAGCATGCTGGGGGGGTTTTCACACGTACAGGAGCAAACAGCAGCTACTGGTTCAGTTCCAGGACAGGAGCCAACGCAAACTCGGGAGAAGTATTTCAAGTATGTCTTCGCAGAAAGTGAGCCTCATTGTTTCTGGTGTCTGAGTCAGGAAAAACAGAACAGTATGTGTTTCTGGCCCCGAAAAAAAGCCAAAAAAAAAAAAAAGAAAAGATGGTCGGTTGTGAGCAGAGCTTTGAGGCAGCTGCTCAGACTAACTGATAGACAAATGTTTCCTTTTGAAAGACGTGATGCTGGCAGAAGCAATCTCTGGAAGGGTAATTCTGATCCAGCCCTTGAGGCCTTCCATCTAGATTTGTGGGTTGAATGGAGTCGTTTTATGATTTACTCGACTGGCAAGGAGACAGCGAGATGCTTGTTTATGGCAGCGATTTGTGAGCCACGATGAGTGAGAGGCTTTTGGCAGAAAACGCCATCGCTATTTTTGGGATGTCAAGTCTCTATTGGGTATTAGGGAAGAAGCTTTGTTTGTAATGAACCTCCATTATGTGGGGAAAACGGCACATGAGACATTGGGTACTTGCTGCAGCTCAGTGAAGACAGAATTTCCCATCTGAGGTTGTTGTTGTTTTTTTTTTTTTCTCTTAATAAATAGTGCTTTATTTAGTTTCAGGCAACAGTTTAATACTTTTCCTTCTCAATAGGTTAATAGATAATCCGATATGATAATCTGTTATCTCCATGAAAAGTGAATTTCATGTAAACTGTGATATTTCTGACAGCAGCCAAGAGGAAACTCCACTGAACATTTATTCCCCGCCTTTGTTATTTATTCCACCACTTTGCTTCTGGCTCTGTTCCTCTGGCTCCCTCTTCTTCTTCTTTTTTTTTTGTATTGGTAGCTATCGAGACATGAAACACACAGGGATTAGATTTCTCCCTCTCTGTATCTGCCCATACATTATTAATGTCACTTATCCTGCCTCATTTTTTCCCCCTCTCTTTGCAAATTAATTGGGAGCTAATTGCATCTAAGAGCTAATTTTAGAGTATTACTCACTTTGAAGATGCCCCATGTGCAAGTTAAGTTATGATCAGCCTTTTGTTGGACTTATTTTTTTTTTAAAACTGTCTAAAAGCAAATTTTTTTAGGCAGCTTTATATAGTTTCATATCTTGGTTTATAGTGTTTTCTGTGAAGTCATTGCTATCCTGATAATAGATTTTTGTTACTACTATATATAGTTTGTCACCTTAATGAATCTCTGATGATTTAGATATATTTAAAATAGCAGGAACGATATACTGAGCCACACTTCTTCTCTCACAGCAATGATGAACATATATTTTTAATTCAGGTTTTTAATCAGTTTTTAGACACCTGAGCAGAGGTGCAGTGGCTCCCCCCGATGGTACTTTGTGTGGTCTGATCCTCTCTATCTGCCGATAACTTTCTAGAAATGCAACTCACTCCAAATCTTAGGACAACATTTGGCTACAAGGTTAAAGAGAAGAAAACATTAAAGCCTGAATATGTTAATTTGATAAGTCTGAGCCTCAGCTGAGCTTCACTCTCTCTTCTCCAGGTGAGGACGTGGCTGGGAGCGTGAGCTGTAAAGTCCCCAGAATTGCATCACATGGAGGTCAAAGGACATCTGATCACATCCATGGGTTTGGGGGCTCCTGGTGAGTATCAACGACTTCTCAGGGTGTAAAGACGCTCGTGTCTGGACAAGCCTTTAATGGCCCATGACAAATCCATCAGCTTGTGTTTTCTCTGACGGTTTTTCTCAAGGGAACAGCCAGCTGAGAAAACAGCCACACGTGTGAAGGCCTTTTGTTCACATACAGTGACCACAGCTGCCGGATAATCTTATCAGAGCAGACACATATCAAAAATAAGATACGGCGACCAATGCAACAGTTGGGAGAACTGTATAAATATAACCAAAAGACTGGAGTTTTTATTATGAGAATTAGGAAAACATAATCAGTCCTTGCTGGGAATTTGCTTCGTAACAGTTGCTTGAGATTGTGGAAGTTGTAAAACGTCAGTAGAAAGATGAAGAATTAATTAAGTGGGTGACCTCAGTAGATCAGAGGCCTGTCACCTCTGGGAGGGCGGTGTACAAGCCCAGTGAAATGGGAAGAGTCTTGTCCAGTGTCAGTTAAGTCCCCAAAGATCATGAAATCTTGTGGTAGTAGAGTGGATGATGCCAGATGAGTGGATGGAGGAATAACAAACAACCAAGATGTGAACTCTCTCTGGATCTGTGGTGTGGATGCAGCCTCCACAGCTAACAGTTCAATAAGTTGGCGGCGGAAACATTCCTTCACGGTATTGTGACCGGGGTGACACTATTTGTTGTTAATAAAAGTGGCAAGCCCTCCGCCTCTTTCTTTTCTTCTCTCTGATTTATTCCTCTCTGCCCGAACCGCCTGAAAGCCGTCGGTGGTAATTACGGGCTCCGGAGTATTTTTCCTGTAGCCATGTCTCTGGCAAACACATAACACTTCTCTCACAGAAGTACCCTCAATTCCCGACTACAGCTGTTAGCTCGTCCATCTCATTGTTCAGCGATCTCACGTCGCCTGTGGTGATTAAAGGGAGATGCCTTGCTTTGTTTCTACTCTGCATCCTTTGTGTGTCCTCCTCCTGATTTCTGTTCTGCTCACCTACCTGCCTGGTTTAGGTGTGATTAACTGGTGCCTGTGAGTGTAGAGTAGTAGGAACAGTGGCATTGTTGAATGAAAGGATGGTGGGAAAAAAAACATCAGAAGTCTCATGACAAGCATCTTGAAAAAGTCTCCAACAATAATCCAAACAAAAGTCGTAACAAAGAAAGTTTTATAAAAAGTAGAAAGCTGTGAATAATTAACAGGTGATGCATGAGAAAAAGCACGACTGATTAATGACACTCAAGTTTCTTATGCTGAGTCCTGCACAGCTGAGTGACTTGTCCGTTAAATGTCCAGCTAATGTTGCTAATTCAATTCGTTGTGAAGATGCCTTACGTGTGTTGTGTTGCATAGATGTTCAAGGCTGCCAGGACAGCAAGCTGCAGGCTGAGAGGATCGCAGCTCTGCAGGAGAGGAAGCAGGCCCTGGAGGCGCTCCTCAACGCCAGAGTGGGAGAGCTCAAACAAGTCTGTTTGCAGGAAGCGGTGAGCGGCTCTCGCTTCGTCTTTACAACAGGCATTGTTCAGCGTGCAAACATTCTCACTCCATTCTCAGTTGATATTTTTTAATTCATTGTCTTCTTATTGCTTTAAAAGTTAAATAAATTTAAAGCTCTGAGCCCAGTTAAAGCAAGCAACTTGTTGAAAATGTGATATTATTCTCAGATAAAATGGGCTGCATATTAATCTTCGCTCGATTGCTCCTGAGAGCCTGTCAGCGCATGTTAATGAAGCTACAGCTGCCTCAGCTTTTCTTTAACAGCTGTTTAACACATCCGTTTATTTTCAGCTAGATGTGTTCTGACTCATTCTGTGTCTGCCTATTTTTGGATTCAGAAGTTGTCGAGTTAATGCGTTATTTTGTTTCTGCTTTAGAGGCCTGTTATGATACCAGTCGATCATTTTAAGGGATGATTTAACTGAGACTTCAAATAATCAATGAATCATTTAACCTAACACAGTGGACATCACAGGACGGCGAGAAGGATTTTAGTTACTGGAGGCTAATGAATGTCCTCTACAGGAGCTGACTGGGAAGTTGCCACGTGCTTTCCCCCTGGAGACGGGAGAGAAACCCCCACCGGTGCAGCGCAGAGCTGGCCTGGCGCCCAACACCAAGGCAGAGGTAAGTCAACACCTTGAATATCAATTGTGTTTACGCAGCAGCTGTATCACTGTGTGTGCTTGTGGTCTAACATGGCTGGCTGTCCCTGGCTGCAGGATGAGGCTGCCCAAAGAAAGCAGATGAAAGCCATCTTCACCGGTGCTCTGTACAGACACTCGGAGTCGGACCGAAATGTCCCAAATAGCAAGAGGACAGTCCATCGGGGCTGTCATACAGGTAGCAGCTACAAAGCACCTCATACCACACCGAGACACTGACATTGTCCAAAAAATGAACAAATCCTGTCTACGTGAATAAAAAACAAGCACAACTCATTTTACCCTTATATTTAGCAAACACACCAGATGTCGTGCTGCTTTGTTTATGACCTGAATAGTTTGTTGTCTTACAGAGGACACTGTCATGTCAGAGAGCACCAGCTCCATGTCAGATTCAACATCCCATGATAACGGTGAGTCAACAGCATATAAAATGTCTTTCAATAACCCTCTCTGCCTCTGGTGGACACTGTATATCCATGTTCACAGTGAGCTCCACAAAAGCAATAGTAGAAACTCAGGGCTCGAGCTTTAGGAGCTGCTGTCATCCTGTGTGGCCAAAGAAATTAAAAGATTAATTTTGGAATGAAAGTTGAAACAAACACCCTGTAAATAGCTGAATGCACTTACAAATGTTATTCTGTTCCCTTTCAAAATGCATCACTCAAAACATGACTGTTAGACTCATTGGTACCTCTGGTGTTAACACACCGTACATCAGTGCAATCACTTTATAGCTCTACATCCCACTTGCGCTCTTAATGAAGCCGTGACCGAGCAGGCTACATTAATGGCTAATTTGCCTATTTTTCTTCTCCCTAAAGAGTCTTCACCCAGTGTGGCTGCTGACCAGCGCTCTCTGTCTCAGCCGCGGCTCACCGTGGGCAGCCCCGACCATAGAATCAGCAGGAAGTTGTCTCCGGTTGAGATTTACTACGAGATGAGGACACGACGCAACTCTGTCACAAGCTCTGTTAGGTGCGTACCTTAAAGCAACCCTGATCTACAAGCTACCTAGTGTTTGTATAAACGTGTGATCATCAATAGCTCGAAAACGTTCATCATGTCTTCTTAGTGATAATATAATGTTCAGGTTCTCTATTCAGATATGTAGAGTGTGGTTCTTATTACCTGACAGTTTCGGCGACAACACTCGCCTTCTTCAGAGATGACAACTGACAGCGGGTGACGTGTCAGCCGGCAGATTTTGACAGCACAAAAAGAAACAGCACTACAAGGACAACTCAAATCAGCAATATCGAACCACTGTAAAACAAACATTCACATCATGGACTGGGACGGGGCAAGTATAATCGGGATTGAACAGGACAGACACAAATGATGGATCAGTGAGGCAATCGAAATCAGAAAGCGCGCTGAGAGGACCATGAACAGGGACGAAGGGGGCTTCATGCTCTCACACGTTTGGGACTCCCTGCTCCAGAAAAAGTAACCGTCGGGGGAGTGCGGCGCGCCTGGCGGGGCGGTCGGGTCTGTTGGGCTCGCCACGACACACCATTTCGGTGTGGGCGTGGCTTGCCCGGCGGATCTGGCGGCTCTGCTGGGCGTGCCGCAGGTGCCGGCTGTCAAAATCTGCTGGCTGACACGTCACCCGCTGTCAGTTGTCATCTCTGAAGAAGGCGAGCGTTGTAGAGAACCTGAACATTATGTAATCATCAATGTATGGGTTTCTAAATGTTAAATCTTGTTGTTTTTCTCAGCCCCACTCACTCTTTACCTAGAAGTGCTTCTAACGTTGAAGGCAGAAGTGTTCCAGCAACTCCTCTGTTGGCGCGAACTGCTCCGATCAGCGTTCACGTCAGGTAATCTGTGATCCCGGGCTGCATCTGTCGGATGCAGCGCATCCACCACTCCCCCCCACTGTGATAACTGTACGCTTTTAAATGGCTTAATGACTTAGTTGAATGCAGACACAGAGTTTGGGTTGTAACAATGATTAGTGTCAAATTCAGCTACCAGCGAGGGGTTTAAGTTCATCCATTGGACTGTAAGCATAAAAATTGTGTCTCTTCTTAAGTGATTTTCTGTGAAATGCAGTTATACGGTTTTGATTAGAACTGCTTTCATTCACTCTTTTTTTATGCTCTGAGTCCTCTCCTAATGTAAGCTGTTGTTGTGCTCATTTCTGTTGTAGGTCAGATGCATCCAGTGGGAATGGGTTGAAGCAGTGGTCTGGCAGCCTGGATGTGCCGTACATGATTCCTCTGGCTCAAGAGGGCTCCTCCTCTGACCGCCGAAGCTGCCCGTACAGCTCCCGAGCGAGGCGCAGCAACAGCTCAGAGGCCCTGCTGGATAGATCAAGCCTCCCGGACGATCCTGCCCCCAGGAACGGGATGCCCCAGAGAGGAGGGCCCTACAAGAGCTCAGAGACATTGACCGACGGCAAGCTGCGGCACATCCACCTGGGCAGCCCCGAGAGACACGTGGACGGCTCCGGGGAGCAGGTCAAAATGCGCCTGTCTATGGGTGGCAGGGGGGCCAGCGGAGGCTACAATGAGCTTTTGATGGACTATATCTGGGGGAAACAGCAGAGGATGCAAGTGCAGCACCACCTGTACCAGTCCACAGGCAGGATCTGGCAGGACGCGCCCTCTCCTCGCTCCTCCACCGCAGCGGTGCCTCCTCACGCCAACGGATTTTCGCATTCCCAGGTGCACCTGCCCAGTGCTGCACCTCCTTACAGCCCCATGGTCCTCAGAGGGTCTCAAGCTGAGCTACGCAGGGTCAAAGTTACCAGAACCAAATCTTGTGGGCCCTTTATTCCTTTGCAGCAACATCCCCAAGACGCCATCCTGCTATCAGCGTACGAGTCTCCTCTCCCCGCCTCTGGCACCACCACATCCTCCATCCCCAACCTGCACCCCTACCAGACCGAGCTGTCCGGCACCTCCTTCAGCCGCAGACCGCCACAGTTCTCCCTCCCGACCCCAGAAGACTCAACGAGAAGCCTGCATAAAGCCCTGGCGCTGGAGGGGCTGAGGGACTGGTACCTGAGGAACGCTCTTGGCTATCCTCCCGCGGCCGCAAAGGGCCACGAGGCGGGGATCTCTCGCCTGTCGCACCCCCACCCGCTGGTGCACCAGGCCCAGTCTGTTCAAGGTGAATCAGGCAACCTCCAAAGGCCTCAGATACCCCAGTCAGCCAGCTTCCACGGTCACCCTCTGCACGGAAGGTCAGTACTCGCACAGCTGTGTGTCTGTTCGGTGGGAATTATCATCATCATCATCATCATCAGTGTTGTGGACGAGAATGATACACATATATTACAATAACATCCAGTAGTAGCAAGCTTTAAGGAATGGACATTGTTTTTTCATTTGCTGTTGTGCATTGTTATTAATTACACTTCACTCAAGGCCAAGACCCGTCACAATAAGAGCTGGGATTTTTTCCTGTAGGCAACCCATTCATGGGACACAGCAGAGTCTGATAACTACGTATAGTATAGAATAGAATAGAATAGAATAGAATAGAATAGAATTGAATAGAATAGAATATCTTTATTGTCATTGTGATTTGCAACAAAATTAGTTAATCTTTAAGTGCGTAAAAAACCCCAAAGTGCATAGATAATTAGAAGGTACTCGGGTCCAGACAGTTTGTGAGAGTTCAGTTCTCTGTATATACAGTCGTCCTCAAAGGTATTCATACCCTTCCATCAAAGAAAAGGCAAAATTCACAATAGTCACTCAAATAACTGGAAACTGAAAAAAGTAATAATAAATAAAAATTTGCTAAATTATAATTCAGTGAAAGAAGACATTGCTTTTGAATTGTGGTTGAAAAGAATCATTTAAAAAAACAAACAAAACTGTCGCGGACAAATTAGAGCACTTTACTGATGAGCAGTGGCCAAAATCTAAATACCTGTCAACAGGTGCAGAAGTCTGATTCAGAGTTACAGAAAACACACCTCAAAGGTTGTTCAACAAAATGTTAGTTTTTTTGTTTTTAAAAAAATAATATTTCTGTTGAACCAAAATTCAAAAGCAATGTCATGATTTTTTATTTATTATTACTTTTGTCAATTTCAACTTATTTTCAGTTCTTTAATGGGAGGGTTTGAATACATTTGAAGACGACTGTATGTGTAGCTTAAAGAGGAAAAGAAATAAAGTCAGATCACAAGTGACAATAAACTTGTAGAAAACATGCTCAAGATCATCTGTTGCATCAAAACGCTCACGGCTAACAAAAAGACACAAACTAGACCACCGACTGATTTGACTAAATTACTATCATGTTAATTAAATAATTGTTGTAGTAAATTTAATTATACCAGAGGATTCATTTCCCAGGAGTCAGTTCATGGTTTTGATTAGATGTTACAGGACTTTTTGTGTTTGTTTTTAGGGGCTATGTATGGATACATATGACTGAACTCTGTGTTTGTAGTTTGGGCATTTGTTTAATTTTCTTTCTCACTGGACGCTGGCAGCAAAACTTCCAGCAGTGACTGGTGCCATTACTCTCATTCTGTCCCCCAACCACTCCATCTATCATCCTCTTTTACAACTGTGGTGGTTTTATTTTTGTTTTTTATTATTTATTTAGCTTCTTTTTGCTTGGTCAGCTTTATCGCCTGCTGCCGGCTGCTTCATGCCAACATTCAGGCTGTTTTCAGATCCGACTGAGACACGACACACAGGCTGCACACAGTCGCCCACATGGGACAAGAGGCTAATTTATAGTTTCGCTTTGACGATTCAACAAATATAGCATAAAGGTGCAGTAGCGGGCTATATCCTGCACTTTCAAGGATCCAAACTCTTGTTGTATTCTGACCATGATCCACAGTTGGTCTCAGAAAAAATGCATCTTCTCTGGCGCCGTATTGATTTGTTTTGCTTCCCCCACAGGTCGATGGAGTTCTCTCTCTATCAGGAGACTCCGGATCCACAGATGCAAGACATGACCCCAAAGGAGGCCAGTGCAGACCCAGGCACGCTGGTCTGAAGCAGCAGAACACACACACATAGACACACACACACACACACACACTGCATTATATGAGCAAAAACACTGTAGCCTCACACAGATTCGCACACACACACACACATACACAAGTTGATACAATGTGACCTCAACAGCAAAGCAAAACATGGCAACCTCAGCAGAAAGAGACTGGAGTAAATGACAAACTGTAGCCATACAGTTAAAAAAAAAAAAAAAAAGAGCCTTGGCAAGTTCCCCGTGTTATACCTGATTCCACCAGTATGAACTTCAAAACCCAGCGTTCCCATGCGGATGCGCGCTGGTGCCGACTTACAGAGCATCCCACACCGATGTGGTCGCGCTGCGGCCGTACTTCATATCTTAATATTTCCGGTCCGACACGAGCAGTAAGACCCTTCCTAATAACCCCCCCGAAAAGTCTCCCAAGATATACTTTTATACAGAATATATACAACTCTAAATTACTATTTTGTATCTTCTGGGATATAAAGAAACCGTTATATTAAAGAGGTAATTTATTGCTCATTAATCGTGTGATATACAAAGATGTTATATGAGCTCACTTCATTTGACAAAAGTACTACTACACGCCGGTGAATGTGTTTGTAAAGCTATATAAAAACGCAAAAAACATGCTTCAGTCCTCATCCGCAGTTGATTTTTTTTTACAGCCATTTGTATTTTTCACGTGCGATGAAGCGAAACGGGGCCACGAACTGTAGCGTACTGGTGTAGCGGACGGGAGTGCCTAAAAGTTTTAAATATCAAACCGAAACCTTGGTTACGAAACTTTAAAGTGCTAGAATTAAGCCTCTGTGAGCTTAGTCGAATCAAAAACTGAAAAAAAAAGCATTTTATGATGTCACTAAATTAGGGTATTTTGGAATGATGTCATATGTTGTGACTTTTTTTTTTTCTTTTTTTGAGGGGAGGAGGTGTTTTTTTTTTTTTTTTTTAAGATTCAGCTCAGTGGTGGCTGATTAATGTAGCTTTCTCTGTGCTGACCCGGACAGAATAATTAGATCAGATTTAGCAAAAAAACTAAACTTTGGAGTGTTGTGAGACCTACTGTATGGCAGTAGCACATGACTACGTGACGGCAAATTACTCATATCAAGTCAGTTTCTCCGCGGAGGATCTGAGTGTCATACAGAGCACTTTATGAACATCTTAAGCCTTAATTCCCTTTGAAATTGTCACCAAGACAGATGACAGGCAGTAGAAAGGTTTAGACAGGGTTTCTAATGGGGGCAAAAAATTAAGGAAAGTGAGTTTTTAAGAAGAAAAAAAAAAAAGAACTGCTGAAGATCTGAGTGTTAGTCTGTATATAGTGTGGATTGTACTGATGAGTTTCAAGCTAATGTTTTATTCCCGTACTAACAGTGTAATTTCTAAACTAACCACATAGTAAGTATTTAATCAAAAATAACCTCCCCCTCCCCACACACTCCTTCCACCCCCCAAGTGAGCACTATTTAATTGGTTGTAAAAAGTGAGGTTGATGATGTGAACAGAATAGGGCTGCTGCAGTGTTGAATGACGGCGCGAGCAGGTCTCACGCCAGTAAATCTGTTAATGAGAATTCATGCTAGCTGATAATTGTAATGACTTCAGCTCAGTTCATGTGCTTGCTTTGTGTGTCTTTACTTTTTTGTTTTTAGAGGGAGAATTAGCTTAACTTTTTTTTTTTTTTAACATTATGTCATCGGTCTCGGTAGCATTCAGTAAAATCAGAAGAATTAAATCCTCAAGGAAACAGAAAATCTCGGTGTAGCAGAACGTAACATGTTTTTTCACGATTTAATTTTTTTTTTGTCGTTTCTGATCTTCGGCCATGTTGGGAGTCATTTGAATGTAATTCTTTGTGTGTGTCACATGTGATGTTCTTTTCTACTGTAGCACACTGTGGAATGTTACACGGTTTCTTCTGCTGTCTGATGTGTTCACGTCCTCTCAGTTTTCAGCTTCATCAAGAGCTCCTTCCGGCTCGTTAAAAACCTGAAATCAAAGACCAAACTGCTGTGCACTGGGGGTCATAAAGGTATTTTTCATATAATGTACTCTGTAAGTTCAAAATAAAGGATATAAATTTAGCTCTAAAGCAAATGTATTCAAACTATATTATATTTATGAACCTATAACATTTTGTAGCTATCTACTGTAGCTCTTTCTCATCAGTGCGGGGAATCGGTAATGTGTGTTCAAACCATATCATTCAGCAGTGTGACGTGTTAATATTTGATCATTCTTCCTTTTTTTTTTTAAAAGAAAAACAAAAAAAGATATTTAAGTGCAGCTGTTTTCTCTTTACCTTATCTCTTTATAACCAGGCCTATGGAATTAGACTAAATAGGCCCGCTCTATTCTGTATGTATGAGATTGTGCATTCATTCTACTAAATAAAGTGTCATGTTGAAATCAAGGCAGAACGCGTCCGACGGGTTTGTTGATTCCGAGACGTACAGATGAGTGGAAGCAGGTAAGTTTTAATGAACGTGCTACATACTGTTTTTAACGCTCCGAACAGGTGTCTTCACTTATTCTGGATGTTTAAACCTCTGCTCAGGCTGATCTCGGGTTTGTTTGAGATGAATTGTGTCTCGCCTGGAAAGCTGACTTGTGCAGTCAGCAGCAGCAGGGGGCGGTGTTAAAGTCAGCAGTCCACACCAACAGCCTTTAGTCTGTACAGGAACTAACAGGAACACACTGATTTATTAAACATATATCAGTTTGCATGCTGTTTAGTTTTAATTATGACAAGGCAGCCTAATAACATGTTACGCTTTGATCTCTATTCATGTTTCAGCCGTCATTTTACGTGAATTCTCCTGTAAGTTAGCTTCAGATCAGTTTGCATGTAACTGAGCTGAGCTTGTCCCTCATAAACTACATTCAGAAGCATTACTGTTTACTGTTCTATTCGAGCTCACTCATTTTTTTTTATCCCAGTAATGTATCCTATTACTTTTCTACTTTTCCTGCATTTCTTATGTTTTTTCTTTCTTCTGAGCAATATTTGGCACAAGAATTTCCTACGGGTTAAATAAAGTTGTTCCTGTCTTATCATTGGAGGGTGGTCACTGCTTAAAGTACTGTCTGTGTACTGGTCACATTATTGTGCCTTAAAGCAAAACCTGACTTAAACTGAACAGCTCCAAAACGTTTGGTGCACAACATTTGGATAAACTGAACCATTTCCTAACTACAGCAACAGAAATTTCATTTTACATTTTTTCTCTATGTTTGAAAAGATCATTTTTATGCTGCCTTTAATGCATGTTTTTTGTTGTGACCTTTTGTGAATGGTGCTTTTTAAACCCACTGTTTCCACCCTGTTGAAAACTAGAGTAGAAGTTTTGCATTTA